CCCACTGTAGGGGCGGTTGGTACTAGAGCCGCCCCTACAAAAAAAAACCCGTTGCTAAAAATCGTTTTTGTAGTAGTGAGACAAGACTTGACTTGATGGATTGGTTGCAAGCGTGAAGGGCAAGTTAGAGGCTTTGGAGCGATGGACCGTGTGGAGGTGAAGCTTGAGCAAGACTTGGCGCCGATGGATGAAGGCAATGGTGAAGAGCAAGTGAGGTCAAAATCGATGAACCAATAAGGTCACGTGATGTTATGAAGTGAATCATATCATTTGTTGATCAAGGTTGGTGCATGTGTTGCATTAACATTGGAGGAGATGGAATGTAATGCGCAAGTCAAAGGTATAACCTATAAGGCATTTCATTTCACCGGTCATAGGTGTGTAGAGAAGTTTATGACCGGGTTTAGGATAGATGGCCGTACTATCAAGAGGAGCAAACTTGTTTACGTATCGGTCATCTAGTGCCACTTGAGCGATCTAACTTTGCATACGTGTTAGTTTCAATTTAGGCTATAAAAGTTATGTAGAAAATTTATCATGATAAAATGCCTATAAAAATATCATTAAAAAAATAAATTGACAAAGTTATGATTGTAAGTTGTGATAATAAATTATGTCTCATAAAAGCACAAAAGTTATGTGTGTAGCTTAGTAACTTTTAGAATTGGAAAGTTGCAGAACCAATTTTTCTAAAAAAGGAAAAGTTGTGATATTACGTGATGGTTCGCTAGACGCCTAGATTCTAATTCAGCGAAGGTTTGCTGATTAGCTGCGTTAACCATCGCATGTAATAGGACCCTGGTAGATTGGCCTTGGGCTTATCCGATTTGTGCACTTTGCTGGCACACGTTGTGTAAATCAAATTATTGTTCCTTTCTTCTTTATGGGTATTGTTATTTATTACGTCCATTCTAAATTACAAGACGACTTTGGCTCTTCTAGAGAAGCCAAATGTAAACAAAGCGTAGCTCTACTTCGTAACGAAAAGGTATAGTACAACATGTAAATAGGGTTTAAACGTTGGCATTGTTGGTTCTTTGTTTTGCTATTGAATTTATTTACGCTCTCCGCAGTGCAATGGTTCCACTTGAAGGGTCCAAACAGTGCATGAAGAGCTTGCGGATGGGAAGCCTGCTCTAAAGATAGCAGAGGCAAAGGTGACCATGCCATAAACATAGCAGATGAATCCCTTTAGCAAACACCGAGGTATAAATAGCTCCAAGTGCCCAATTTTTCTTGATCATCAAACACCAAAATCCAAAGTAAATGGACCTAGGGTCCATTTTTCTTATAGTCTACTTAGGTTTTAGTGACCATTAATAAGCACGACTACCATGGTGTGTAGTAGACGTGTGGCACTGAGGCCTGGAGGAATCACACTGTCATCTTGAGATATCCAAGCTCACCAAGGACTTCATTGTGAGGTGGTGCTATCTCCTCCTACTCCTCCTATTAGAGTCTGGATATGGTGGAAATTCTAGAGGTGGAAGTGGGCCTCTAACCTCAAAACTAAGCTACCGATGTAGATCGTTGATGTCCTTCCTCACCTCATAGGCAGTGGTTGTTTCATAGGAACACATAGAAAACATATTCTTGATGAGCAAGTTCTTCAACTTGCTCCCCCTAGACCTAGGGCGAGAGGTAAATAGCCTTGAGCTTGGTGGTGCTGCTAAAGAGGCACCGTGAGTTGGACAAGTTGTAGTGGATGCATGTGGGATGCCTCGAGCTACTGCCATGATGCTAGAACATCTCTTCTTATGATCGCTATGAATCAACTGCTTCAACAAATAGGGATTATGCTTCACATCCTTCTTTAAAATCAAAACGATCACCTCACAATCAAAAACATAATGTAAGGAGCATAGGGCAATCCATTCCTAGCATCATCGAAAGCTAAACTCAAATCAATCCAAGTGAACCTACTCACTAAAAATGCCTCACTCCTAGGGGCCATCCTTGCTAAAAGATTCTTGGCATACATGTTCATATGATTTGAATCTCCACCCTTGGGGTTGATTGTCTCCCTAAACAAGTTATTCATCACATAGTAGTAGGACTTGAGTGAGACAATCCTACCATCAGCTAGTCTCCTATCCTCATATGCATAATCAATCGTCTCAGGCTTCATCAACACCTCATTCTGCACAACGTCTACATACCTGTCACTTCTACCAAAGCCAATTATCCTAGCAAAAGTAGTGAAGTCAATTCTATAGTGAACTCTCTCTATCATCCAATAGAAATAGTCAGGTACATATCATGAAAGAAGGTGGCATAGAACTGAGCTAAAACCTCCTTTTGTCCAGGGAAAAGGTTATCAACTGGTTTATTGTATTTATGAATAATATTATACTCTTAGTTTATTATATGTTAATATTTTTAACTAGTAATTACCACATGAATGAATTTGTATTAGAATCAGTGCCAAAGTGACAATAATGATAAGGGAATATCAATAGAAGAAGCGGAAGCACAAGCAATATTCCCATGATGCTTCAATAATGATTCTAAACAAATAGAGTTACACTTTTCCAATGACCACTGAATAAAATATATTAGACTTGTAATGTCAGTTATTCAAGATGCATAATATTGTAACAATGTAATATACAATTACCTTTCTCTTCCTTTCGGTTTGATTCTTGTCAAAGGAATTCCACCACATGTATAATAACAAAGGAACAAAAGGTATCTATGAACCACACTTTTGCTATAATTATAGTAGAAAATTTTCCTTATTATTTCCTACTTAATTTTATATGTGTAAGGGTCATCATAGAGGGCTTGGAGAGACTTCAAACATTGCACAGCTAGAGGTGGCTCACGACAAGGCTACATGCCACAAGCGTCAAACACATAAGAAACCTCCTCGAATGAAGGTATACGAACATAATAACTGCATGATCTTGATATACAACTAAGGGTTGTTGGTCACTAAGAGATTATGTCAAATTAACATAGGTTGGGTCCATAGTGCTACTAATGACTTTAAAATATCCGAATATTGCTAATGTGGCCTATGCAACTCTTTTGAACAATGATCCAAAAGCCAATGTTTGTGGAGTTAAGATAGGAAATCAATTCTACAAAGTGTGTACCAATCATCTTATAGCAAAAGATGAGCCGTTAGTGAGGCCCATGCCTGGGCGCAACAATATTGGTGATGCCCATGCCAAAGGAGTCCCTATTGCTTGGCCTTTGATATTTGTATGTTCAAACTAGCTAAACTTTACAATGTACATACATGGCCTATTTTGTAATGTGATAGCTTACATTTTCTTTGCAGGTTGAAATGATGAATGGTTGGATTTCTACAACTTACATTTTCTTTCCGTGTTATGGGAGGAGCCTCCGTGTTCTGCCGGGCCAGCCATTTTTGTGGGAGTTGAGGGGTATAAATACCTCCCCTCTCTCCCTCAAAAGGTCATCTTCTCCATTACTCCACTCCAACAACCAGTGGCTCGTTTCTCTCTCGTCCATTGAAGTCTCCAAGCACCAAGCTCATTTCTTAGTGATTTTAAGTGGTGTTTGGCCTTGTGAGAGAGATTAGAAGCTTCAGAAGAGCAAGCTCCTTCCCATTTAAGCACTTGGTGAAACCTTAGCTGTCGTTGGTGTTTTTTAATCTTGGAGCAAGGCTCCTAGCCGGGTAGAGGTTGCCCGTGTAGTACTCCAAGCTTTGTGAAACCCTCAAACTTACTGCTTGGTAGTGGTCTTGAGAAGATGTAGGAGTTGGAAGAAACTCCAAGCCTTTGTGGCTAACTCAACAACATAAACTTATGCAAGCCTTGGTGGCAAGCTAAATCACGGAATAAATATTGTGTCTCTTGTGTGTTGTGCTTTTGTTGATATTACTTGTGTTTAAATTGAGTTTCTAGAGTTTGGACCCGATCTACTTTCTTCATAGGCTATAGGTATGCTAATCAGCTTCAAATTAGTTGTGATTTTTTTTAGAACCAGGCTTACAACCCCCTCCCCCCCTCCCCCCTAGGCCTTGGTAGATCCTTTCAACTAGTCTATCGATATACAATGAATATATTTTTATGTTGAGAAATTTGATCCGAACAAGTTACATTGAAAAAAATAAGTTATGTGTAAATTTTCAAAAGACGTTGAATAACAATAACTTATGTATGTAAGTTATGTTATATTTATAATTTATTATGTAAAGTCGTGCTATAAAGGTTATGTTGAGAAACTGTTATGAATAAGTTTGCCCTCTGTTAGTTATTAACAAAAGTTAGGCTATAAAAGTTACCTAGAAAATTTATCATGATAAAATGCCTATAAAATATCATTAAAAAAGACAAAGTTATGATTGTAAGTTGTGATAATAAAATATGTCTCATAAAAGCACAAAAGTTATGTGTGTAGCTTAGTAACTTTTAGAATTGGAAAAGTTGCAGAACCAATTTTTCTAAAAAAGGAAAAGTTGTGATATTACGTGATGGTTCGCTAGGCGCCTAGATTCTAATTCAGCGAAGGTTTTATTTGATTAGCTGCGTTACCATCGCATGTAATAGGACCCTGGTAGATTGGCCTTGGGCTTATCCGATTTGTGCACTTCTTTGGCACACATTGTGTAAATCAAATTATTGTTCCTTTCTTCTTTATGAGTATTGTTATTTACTCCGTTCATTCTAAATTACAAGAGGCGATTTTGGCTCTTCTAGAAAAGCCAAATGTAAACAAAGCGTAGCTCTACTTCAGAATCTGAAAAGGTATAGTACAACATGTAAATAGGGTTTAAATGTTGGCATTGTTGGTTCTTTGTTTTGCTATTGAATTTATTTATGCTCTCCGCAGTGCAATGGTTCCACTTGAAGGGTCCAAACAGTGCATGAAGAGCTTGAGGACGGGAAGCCTGCTCTAAAGGTAGCAGAGGCAAAGGTGACCATGCCATAAACATAGCAGACGAATCCCTTTAGCAAACACCGAGGTATAAATAGCTCCAAGTGCCCAGGCAACGAGTGACACAAAGCATCATATCACGACAAATAAAAATGGCGTGCACAGACAATGCGATGAGAGCCTTGTTCCTCCTGGCGCTCGTCTGCGCCGCGCACGCTGGGAAGGACACGAAGGAGAGCTCCTCCGCTCCTGCCAAGGAGGGCGGCGACGCGAAAGCAGCGTCCGGGCCCGGCGGGTCGTTCGACATCACCAAGCTGGGCGCCTCCGGCAACGGCAAGACGGACAGCACGAAGGCTGTGCAGGAGGCGTGGACGTCGGCGTGCGGCGGCACCGGGAAGCAGACGATCCTCATCCCCAAGGGCGACTACCTCGTCGGCCCGCTCAACTTCACCGGCCCGTGCAAGGGCGACGTGACCATCCAGGTGGACGGCAATCTGCTGGCGACCACGGACCTGAGCCAGTACAAGGGTAACTGGATCGAGATCCTGCGCGTGGACAACCTGGTGATCACCGGCAAGGGAACGCTCGACGGGCAGGGCCCCGCCGTGTGGAGCAAGAACTCGTGCGCCAAGAAGTACGACTGCAAGATCCTGCCCAACTCGCTGGTGCTGGACTACGTGAACAACGGGAGGTGTCCGGGATCACGCTGCTCAACTCCAAGTTCTTCCACATGAACGTGTTCCAGTGCAAGGACATGCTGATCAAGGACGTGACGGTGACGGCGCCCGGGGACAGCCCCAACACGGACGGCATCCACATGGGCGACTCGTCCGGGGTCACCATCGTCAACACCGTCATCGGCGTCGGCGACGACTGCATCTCCATCGGCCCCGGGACCAGCAAGGTGAACATCACCGGCGTCACCTGCGGCCCCGGCCACGGCATCAGCATCGGCAGCCTGGGGCGGTACAAGGACGAGAAGGACGTCACGGACATCAACGTCAAGGACTGCACGCTCAAGAAGACGAGCAACGGCCTCCGGATCAAGGCGTACGAGGACGCCGCCTCCGTGCTCACCGCCTCCAAGATCCACTACGAGAACATCAAGATGGAGGACTCCGCCAACCCCATCATCATTGACATGAAGTACTGCCCCAACAAGATCTGCACCGCCAGCGCTGCTCCAAGGTCACCGTCAAGGACGTCTCCTTCAAGAACGTCACCGGCACCTCCTCCAGCCCCGAGGCCGTCAGCCTGCTCTGCTCCGACAAGATCCCCTGCACCGGCGTCACCATGGATAACGTCAAGGTCGAGTACAGTGGCACCAACAACAAGACCATGGCCGTATGCAAAAACGCCAAGGGCACCGCCACGGGCTGCCTCAAGGAGCTCGCATGCTTCTGACTTCTGACTTCTCACCTCCATCCATCCAGCTCTTTAATTAAATTAGTTTCTTCTCTCGTCCTTCCATTGCCCATTACGTAATTGCCATCCATTGTTTGTAATGAACTAGCACCACCTACGCATGCATTCCCATTATTTGCATGCATTGGGCTGCTGCTGCTCGTCGACAGTAGCATATTGAGCAAACTCCTCGTACCTTCCGGTTGTATCGTAGTACTTTCCTTCTTCTGGTTTATTTCTTCATTATTATATTTGTCCCTTCAGACATCGAGTGACATTGTGTTTGTTTTTTGACACAAGAATGTACGTAAAAGCTCCGATCTTACATTGCATGTACCCGACCTCCAGGACATGCCATCTTTTTTGTTTTTGTTTTTGGCAAGCACGACGTAGCAATGTCATACCCGAATCTCTCTCTCTCTCTCTCTCTTTATATATATATATATATATATATACACGTCTCCAAAACCTCCTTAAAATCACTTGGTAAATTAATTATTATACCAAGTGAACAAAATAAATAGGGAACTTTATTTTTATCTTCCTCCAGTGGCTTTTAATAGTTACAGCACCTCATGAACTTTGTATAATTTACTTGCTAAACCAGTTAACAAAACAAGTAGCAATAAAGCATCTTCAAGAGTTTCCAAATCCCAATCTTTCTGGGGTTGGGAAAATCGATCCAATCGCGCAGAAAAGTGCGTGCGCGTATCGACGTGCCAATCTAGAGGTGAATGGATGTGTGAAGAATAAAGAGTAGGACAAGTTCCTCATACCATTGTACAAGAGACAAAGAAAGTATAAAAATGGTTGGGATGATTTAGAAATAGTTCGAGATTTCTAATGCAAAATTGTCTTCTATGTTTTAGGAGCGAGGTTCTAGAGACTGTTGGAGGAACAGAACAAATATACTTCCCACTTTCTTTAGCCACTTGGAAAACACAAAGCAATTGGTAAATCAATGAGTTTTCCATGTGGCTAACAAAAGGTGGGAGCATATTTGTTTAGTTTCTCCAAAAAATTTCAATATCTCGGACCTAAAATATAGAAGATAATTTTAAATCAAGAATTCCAAACTATTTCTAAATCATCCTAACAACATTTATATTTTCTTTTTCTCTTGTATATTTGCATCACTGATGAGTGGGTTTTAGAAACACTTGGAGATGTTCTTAGAGCATCTCCAAGAGTTTCCTAATTTTTTCTCCTAAAAACTTGTAGTTTAGCAACTCCTAAAAAGATATTAGAAGGGGAAAAGATAGTCATCTCCAAGAGTTTTTAATAAATGTCATCTAAAAAATCAAATTTGTGGCGCACATCATCTCCACACTGGTTTATGGCCGCTATCGGCTCAGAGGTGGGCACGACATCCTTTCCACCCCTCGTCGTCCTCGGCTAATCCGCCGCGCCTCCGATACACCCAAGGCAGCAGCAGCGCCCGCCAGCTGCAACAACAGCAGGAGCTGCGAGGAGTAGCCAAGCCACCACCATCTCATCAGACTCCTCTCAAATCCTCCCCACCACGCACCCTTTCCCTCCCCCTCCCCTCCGCTCCCCCGCCACCCCGCAATGGCTGGCCTCCTCAACCTCCAGTCCACGCTTCTCCCCTCGGCGTCCGCGCTCCGCCACCGCACGGGCGCGCCGGCGCCGTCCTCGTCCCGTCTCCGATGTCGGGTTGAGGCCAAGATCCAGGAGATCTTCATGCCGGCGCTCAGCTCCACCATGACCGAGGGCAAGATCGTCTCCTGGACCGCCGCCAAGGGCGACCGCCTCGCCAAGGGTGACCCCGTCGTCGTCGTCGAGTCCGACAAGGCCGACATGGACGTCGAGACTTTCCACGACGGCTTCCTCACCGCCGTCCTCGTGCTCGCCGGTGAGTCCGCGCCCGTCGGCTCCGCCATCGCGCTCCTCGCCCAGTCATAGGCCGCCTCCTTCTCCTCCAGCTCCTCCTCACCGCCGCCTCCGCAAGAAACTGCTGCTGAAGAAGTGTCCCTTCCGCCGCCGCCTCCTTCCGCGGTGCCGGTGGCAGTCTCTGCTCCCGCGCGGCCTTCGCCAGCAACACAAGGCGGGTGCCGATATCCTCCATCAGTGTGCTCGCCGGCGACGGAAACCTTCTCTGCACGACGACACGAGATGGCGCGAAGCAAGAAGCCACGCCAAAATGATGGCGGCAAGAGAGAAATCGCGCACGGGGATGGATATGTGCGACGGGAGCAGCGCGTAAAGTTACGCGGAATAGGAAGGAATTTCCCAAGTCCTAAAAGATTAGGAGTAAATATTAAGAGTTGTTGGAGAGGAGTTTTTCCCTATCTTTCTAAAAAACAAGGATTAAAAGGATGTTTAGGGAACTCTTGGAGATGCTCCCCCCTCTCCAATAAAGATGGCAATGGGGACCCACGACCCGATACCCGACGGGTATTTACTCCATTAGGGTCTAAATATGGACTAAACACACTACCCACGGGTACGTAAATGGACTAAACCCTTCACCCATCGGGTACGCGGGTATGGGTATGTTCTAGCAATCCCCGTACCCGTTTACCCATGGGTGAAAAATACCCGGCCCAAAACTAAATAAGCCCACCAGCCCATGTAAAACCCTAGGTTCACCCGCCGGTCCCGCCTGGCGACTTGGCCGCTGGAGCCCTCGACCGCTCGAGGGAGGCTCGACGCCTGGCCTCTCGCCGCCGAAAAAAATAGGCGTGTGAGTAAAGCGCATCGTTACCTCGTGTCGGCGCTGGCAGCCTGGCACCGCAATCACCACTCGCCAAAAAAAAACGCCGCCGCCGTCGAAAAAAAACTACCCCTTTTGGCTATGTAATATAATGATTTATGACAAAATGACTTTGTGTGATGGTGTAATGTGACTGCTGGTTGCAGAAGATATTATTATATGCTATTATTTGTCTAATTTTATGTGCTCTGGTTAGTAGTGGTTGCTGTTGAATTGTTGATTTTCATGTGCGTGAATAAATTATTAGCGGGTACGGGTGACCCGTCGGGTATGATATACCCGGCCGGGTATGGGTCTGGGGAAAATTCCCCACCCATGACGGGTATGGGTATTCTGGTGGTACCAAATTTTTATGGCGGGGATGGGTCTGAGATGGCCATACCCGATGGGGATTTACCCATTGCCATCCTTACTCTCCAATACTTTCCCTTAAGAACTTCCTAAAAACAAAAAAAAGACCCACATATTGTTTTGTGCAGCAATTCCAGGTCGCACGGCATCCCTATCACTCCATCTTGCGTGGAGCCAGCATTGTCAACTGCCCCATCAATCGTCGCCGCCCCTCCCTGCCGTCAGCCCCAACCCAGGCAACAGACGTCACCCCAGGCCAACAGGCAGACGCAGGCAGCAACATGAGAAGGGAGCACCTTAGGTTGGATTGTCAATCTATCGAAAGACAGGCTATCATTCTCACCATTCACCATGTTAGTCCAGGAAATTGTATTCTCCATGATCTTTCTGGGGCGGCGACAGTAGGAGTTAGGACGCACTGGCAGGGTCGTCGGGAACACCACAAACTCATGCCAAAATTAACATGGATTGGGGGCGTGACGGGGCAGGCGATGGGAGAAAATGCAGAACCCGAGCTGATATATCGAGCATAGAAAGTTATGAGTTGGAGGGGAGATTTAGCAATTTCTTATTTTTAAGGAGTTGTTTTACCAAGTCGTTGGGGGCAGTGTTAGTCTAAACGCATCTAAATAGTCATCTACACACATTTAAATGCTAAACTGTTTAAAATTTGTATAAAAGTTAAAATTTCATATGTATATTTATTGCTACAGTGCAAACTGTTTAATTTGTCTAATTGTCGTCCAAACCATCTAAACGCTAAACGGAGGATGACTAACTGTTTAGCGTCTAGAATAGCACTAGTTGGTTGGGCCTTTTTTTCTTTTTTCCGGAAACTTAAAGAGAGAGTCATTTGCTAAGTTCCTAGAGTTGCTCTTATAGCTTTCAAACAAACCCCCCACCCCCCCGCGCGCGCGTGACGATCAAGAAAAAAGTGGTGTGCACAGTTGTAGTAAGGCGGGGCCCCCACCGGTCCTTTCTGCAGGGTAGTGCATGGGAGCGTGTGCGGCCACTCGTTCAGCGTGGGGTGTATGCGGCATGGGGCAGTGTATGGGAGCTCGTGTAGCCACTCGTTCTAGGGGCAGCACATGGAAGCTCGTGCGGCCACTCGTTCAGCGTGGGGCGCGAGGCAGCACATGGGAGCCCATGCGGCCTCGCTCGGCGTGGGGTGCATGTGGCGTGTGGGAGCCTGTGCATGTGCTATGACAAGAGAGAGGACCGAGAGAGAGAGAAGCACGGGCCCGCATACTCCATAGCACCGCTCGGCGTGGGGTTTCATGTGTTTTTGTATGTTTCATGTGTTTCATCTGGATGTTGCATATGTTGCAATGACTATGCACGTATGTTGCAAGTGAATATTTCAAATGTTTAATCTGTTTTAGACGTATGTTGCAAGTGTTTTTTTAGATATTGCATATGTTTCAGTGGCTATATACATATGTTGCAAGCGTCTATTCAAAATATTTTATCTGTTTTAGATGTATGTTGCAAGTGTTTTATTTGGATGTTGCATATGTTTTAGTGGCTATATACATATGTTGCAAGCGTCTATTCAAAATATTTCAAGTGTTTCAAACGTATGTTACAAGTGTTTTATCTGGATATTGCATATGTTACAGTTACTATATACATATGTTGTAAGCGTATGTTGCAAATGTTTCACCTATTTTAGACGTATGTTGCAGAAGTGCTTCATATTGCAACATTAGCAGGCGCAAGAAGCGGACGCATGCGGAGGCGGTCCCCATGAGCTCAGCGGTCCCCATGAGCGTGGCAAGCGAAGCGGGCATGGGTGGTCGCCACCTGCAAGCGCATCAACAAGCACGAGGCGGGCATCAGCAGGCACAAGGCGCACAACTGCATGCATAAGCACACTAGCATGCGGGGGTGGGTGTGCAGGCGCAACAGTTGCATACGGTGGCGAATGTGCACGCACAGCTGTTGCATGCGGGGCTGGCTTAGCGGCATGCATGACAGGATGTGGTGGTAGTCGTAAAAACCAGTCATGGCCGATTTTGGTAGGTTAAGGCCAAATCGAGTTTTTCTAGTTGGAAACTCTTCCCATCTTGTGAAAAATTTATAAATTGTGTGTGAAATAAGTTTCCTACGGGAATAAGACCACTCACTCTATTTACATAAGAGGATCATGACCGATGGAGAATCCATCTATCCAATCAATAAAACCACCCATCTTACTTTTTATCTTCTACGTCAAGCCTTTTCATTTCTCTTGTTGTCCAACACTTCTCCCGACATTCGACGAGATTTTCTGATATTCTACCCCTCTTTTTGTGTGTCTCCCCAATGGGTCTTGCTAGAAGGCGTTTGTGGGCTTTTCAGACGAAGGACGAGTGTCAAATTGCCCTCGTCAACCTGCTAGCTGACCTTGCCACTTAGACCTCCCTCCATTGCATATCTCAGCCTTGTGTGGCCCAGGTAATCAAGCCCTTAGACTGTCTCCAACAACCACGACTCAAAATACAAAATATATTCGTCCTTTGGGTAGCGCTACAGGCAAAGGGTTCAATACTTATTTTTGGTCTTCTCCAACAACAAGACCTAAAAGACAACCCTTTTTGCAAATGGGTCTCTAGGAGAGAGGATACTCAGATTTGAGTTATGTCTCTCCTGACACCCAAAATGGGTCTTCCATATACGTATTCTGTTGGAGACTATAGGTGTTGTATTGGAGACCTATTTTGAATTTGGGTTCCCCAATAAATCTCCTGTTGGAGACAACCTTACTACTAGTGTGTTCATCGGATTTAGCATCAATAGAACTCTGGGAGATGCTCTTAATGCATGGACCGACAGGCGACGGTAACCTGTCGGCTTCTCTTAAAAATCATTTTAATAAATATTTCATAAGTTATGAGCCTTTTACGCTACTTCAATCCTTATAATATACTTATGAGATAAAATAGTTTAGGAAATAAGAAGAATCAAAATTTATTATAGGGGTCCGAATTGTTGCATGAACCAAAATGTTCTTTTTAGAGAAAGTTATAAGGGTAGGAGCATAAGTCCTTACAAACCAGGAGATCAAAAGGCTCAAAATCACCTGGGTGTTTTTTACTCATCATAAATCAGAGGACAAAAAAAATCACATACATGTAATAAGCATGTCACGTATATTTCAGGCTTGTTTGATATTAGTATATTAGTTTCCATCCATATGTGTTAAGGTGGATCGAAGTGTAAAATTAGTTTAAGTTTTAATCTCATCCATTCCAATTACATGTAGATCGAGGTGAATACGAGAATAGTCCTCAAAGCATTTTTGTATGTTCATTCCGCCGGTGAAATTATTCACATCACGTAACATCCTATGATTTTTATCTCATGCTAAAAACCACTAAAATTTTGTGAGTTTTAGAATTTTACAATAAACCAAAACTTGTTTGCCTGTTTACACGTCAAAACCATTTTCAAAAACCCTTTTAGCTAGAGAACTGCATTAAATTAAATCATTTACATCTTTTAAGATTTCCTTGAATTTAAATGCAGCACTGAAAATCCCTTTGCGTGTGAAACCATTTGAATTGAATTCACTCTTTTTTCGGTAATGCTACTGTTAAGCCGTCCGGAAGGCCGGATGCCTCGCTCCACTCACTGCCGCATGTGCCGCTCGCCTAAAAAAATCAAATCCCAAGGAAGCTCATCTCCCCACTCCACGCTCGGGCGTCGTGGCTTCACGGCGCTGTGCGGCCGTCCGACCATCCCAATCCGTGAAAGCTCTAGTTTGGTTTTGGTTAATTGATGAAACCCTAAGTGCTAACCTAGTTTATCAAGGTGATTATGAGATAGGTAGCACTACTCCAAGTGATGAAGCAATAAT